TTTGGCAGATCCACCTTCACCACCTCCCAACACTTCTTGTAGAAAATGCTAGTAAGACCATATATCCCAGGAGACTTATCAGCTTCCATGCTCTTCATCACTTTCCAGATTTCTTCCTCTGTGAAGGGGGCTTCCAGCTCCCTTTTCTGAATTTCTGAAATCCTCTTAAAATCTAGATCCACCGGGAAAGATCTTCTAATCCAATTTTATTTGAATACTTCTGAAAAATATTTAGTGGCTATGCTTTTCAATTCTGCCCCATTCTCTCCCACCTGACCCTCAAATTCAAGCCTCTCAAATTGGTTAAATCTTTTCCTAGCATTCGCCATCTTGTGGAAAAAACCAGAATTTTTATCCCCCGCTTTGAGCCATTTGACTTTGGCTCTTTGTCTCCATTCCGGTTCATCTTTAAAGGCTAGATGATCAAGGGTCGATTTTGCTGCCTGTCTTCTTCTTCTTTCTTCCTCTACTATGGGACCAGCTTCCTTAGCCAAGTCAATTTCTTTGATTATTTCTAGACACCCTCTTCTTTTCTGATTCTGAGACCCCTTGGAACTCCAACCTCCATGTTTTCAAGAATTCATTGATCCTTTTGATCTTTTCTGCAAAGATGAATGAGCTCGTACCTGGGCTTCGGACCACTTTGAGTTAAGAAGAGGGATCAGCCCCACCTCCTCGAACCACCTATTCTCCATTTTAAATGAAGTTTTCTATTTGGTTCCTTGCTTTCCACAAATCAGCTGTATAGGGGTATGATCCGAGAGTGGTCTTGGAAGGGCCACTTGCTTTGTGAAGTTAAAAGAGCTCTCCCACCCCGGAGAAATTAGAAATCTGTCTAACTTGACCAACGCCAGAAAATCCTAGTTATTTGTCCAGGTGAATTGAGTTTGAGCCCCTAACAACGGGAGATCAATTAACTCAAAGTGATTAACAAATTCTGCAAATTTTCTCATTTCCCTTGTTCTCCTTGATCCACCCTTCCTTTCTTCCAGAAATCTAACCACATTAAAATCCCCACCTATAACCCAAGGGATGGTGTGAGAACCTCTAGTTTCGGCAAGATCTTCTCCCTGCATTTATAGTAGGGCCATAGACATTGGTAAATTGCCCTTGGAATCCACCCTCTAACTCCAAAATTACCGACAATGAGAATTCACCTTCAAAAGAAGACACCAGCTTACATTACCTGTCCCACAGGATTAGAATACCCCCTGCACTTCCCCTAGCTAGTTTACTCACCCACCTCACCTAACCATCTCCCCAAATGCTTCTTATAACTTCAGCCTCCACCGAATCTAGCTTGGATTCTTGAAAAAAGACCACATCCAATTTCCATCTTTTGAGCAGATCATAGACCACCATTCTCCTCCTACCTGATCCTAGCCCCCTCACATTCCACGAGAGAAATTTTAAATCCATCAAAAACAATAGAAAAAACACCAACCCCCCTAACCTTACACCTTCTTCCCCCCCCCCTACCTTGATGAGCCTTCCCCCTACCTGCCTTGTCGTTCAAACCCCATGCCAACCTCATTACCTCCCTGCTTTTCTTTCCCCTTGAGCCCCCTTTTTTTATGTTTAGCTTTCCTCTCTTCTTTAACCACCACCTTTCTATTTTTTTCTAAATACTTAATTGTCTCTTCCTCCAATCCTGCTATGGAAACACCCAAGAATTTACCCAACCCCAACAACTTGGAATTGACCCAAGTCGAAGTGTCATCCACCCCCTTCCCTCTGCCTCCCTCCTCTAAAACCAACCATTTTGCCCCCAAGTCCTTCCCCTTGTTCCAAACTAAAGCCCCCTTGCTCCATCCCCCCCTGACCCTGTGTACATATCTGGTTCTCATCGACCCCCGAAGAAGGCATCCCTCCTGCCTCACGGGTTATCGAATCCCTTATGATCGCCAAGGGGGTTATCTCTGCTAGTTTCTCATCTAGATTAGGATACACAGACAAAGCAAGTCCATCTCCCCATTTTCCCGTTTCCCCATTACCTTCTTGATTCTTCGACTCCAAATGCCTTCCAACTGGTAGTACGTTCAACTCAAGAAGACACTCGATCATGGTTTCAAATGTCGCCAAATGTCACTAATGTCGCCCAACATATATCGATGTCGAGGCTCAGCGACATGAAAGTGGATGGTAATATAAAAATTACATTATGTCGGTCGACATTTCCTATATTTCGGAAATGTCGACCAAATTGGTCCAAATAACCAAAAAAAATACAGTTTTTCCTATTATGTCGACAGGATGTCAACTAATGTACATTAAAAATATAGTATATTAGTATATTATATTAATATAATACAGTATATTAATATAGATTAGTCCATTAATAATTTTTATT